CCCCAAAAACCCCAAAACCCCAAAACCCCAAAACCCCTATAAATAGACCAGAGTTGATTGTAATGTAGAGTTAAATAATGAGTTGGTTAAGGAAATTATCTGAGACTGTTTTTTGAGGGTGCTCCCCAGCACAGCTTGAGGAAGAGGAAATGAATACAAGTGTGTCAGATGACCGCAAGAAGGGCCACATGGTCGAGAACGAAGGCGTTGATGACTCTGAGCATAACTTGTTTGTAGAGGATGCCTCTTTTGATTTTAGTCTTGTGAGGAAAGGGGCTGATAATACAATTGCCACTGAGAAAGTAATGAAGAAGATTTTGAAGAATGTGAGTCCGGCTGTCAGAAGGATCTATAAGGTCAATGGCCCGTTTAAGTATTGAATAGAAGATTGGTACAATCTAGGACTTGATAAGGAAGAACTTGTCTGGGAGGAAGACTACAATACATCATCTAGTTACTGTGGTGAACTCAGAAAAGGCACTCATGTTAAAGAGGGCAAAGGAGTTTACCTCAACGAGCAAGGTGATCTTTATGAAGGATTCTTCAAGCACGGCAGACAGTACGGCAAGGGAAGAATGATCTTCCATAACAACTCCTTGTACCAAGGAGATTTCAAGAACGGAGTCCCTCACGGATTCGGCATCTTCATCGATTGAGAATCTGGCGGAATGAGAAAAGCCGAATTTAAACAAGGTAAAATACATGGAGAAGGAATTGAAAAGTGGGCCGACGGAACAACCTTCAAAGGATTCTATAGGAAAGGAAAGAAGTCAGGCTTTGGAGTCTTTAGATGGGGTGACGGAAGTAGTTATGAAGGAGATCTTGAGAAAGATCTTCTCCATGGGTTAGGAACTTTAACTATGTCCGATGGCAGAAAGTACGAAGGACATTTCGCCGACAACAACATGGACGGAGAGGGGACCTTCTATTGGCCGGATGGCCGAAAGTACGTCGGTTCCTACAAAGACGGCAAGAAGCACGGTAAAGGCAAAATGATGTTCCCAGACGGCCAGGAGTACTACGGCGAATGGGTCGAAGGTGAGGTCAACGGCAGCGCCTTCATAACAGACGAGAGTGGCAAGAAGACTAAACAGTATGTAGAGAAAGGAGAGATTATTAGGAAGCTCACCAATTTATTTTAAGTTTTATATCGATTTTGATTAAATATCGATCGATTTGGTGAATTGGATGGGTCAAGCTGTGTTCAATTAAGCTAGTTTTGGAGGGGTTTTGGGGTTTTGGGGTTTTGGGGTTTTGGGG